GGGGGGGGGGTGCAATTTGGCATACGTTTATATTCTCTCAGCATAGAAGAAAACCTCTGTCTGAGCACGCGCAGATAACTTTTTACCTTTACTCAGCAAAACTTAAACATCCGTTTTGAATTCTTCGGCAGCCAGAGTAGCAAGTAGTTGTTTAGAACTACTGGAGCTAGGAGAGACAAAGAATGGTGTTTACTATATACATCCAGATACGTCCCCTGCACCTGTCAAAGTATACTGTGATCAAGAACAAGATGGCGGAGGATGGGAAGTCTTCTTCAGGCGTCAAGACGGCTCAGTAAAATTTCATAATAAGCTGTGGAATGACTTTAAATATGGGTTCGGTGACTTAGAAAACGAATTCTGGCTTGGTCTCAAACATTTAACTAGACTACCAGGGACGAAGGAATTAATGCTGAAAATCAAGAATTCTATTGGTCAAACTAGATATATACGTTATTTATACTTCAATATTCTACCTGAAACTAATAAGTTTGAGGCGAGAATTGGATGGCATAGAGGAGGTAAGCGAGCATGCAAAGTAAGTAAGCTAYAACTAACATCGGTGTATAAAACATAACTGTGGGACAACTAACTTTTGGATTAAGAAYCCTTAGACGCACTCGATCATGACATTCTTTGTCGTTTAGGAGCCAACAGTTTTAGGCATCGTATAAGTTGTTATCTTGCATCGGCGTCGAAGTTTTCTTAGTTCATTTGCCTGTCTGCCCACGTTACCCATAAATGTTATGGCAACAAAGAATGGTTATCGTATAATGGGGGATTTTCTTATGCAGCGCATTTCACATTGTCTCAATGCGCTTTACAATATGCTCAGTGGAGCATTTTATGGGCTACACGTACATTAGTATTTTGCCTACAAATATGAATATGCTATTGAATCGGGAGACACTCCCCTACTCTTACACGAATAAGAATAATTCAACAGTTTCTTTTATGTTCTTCATTGAAAAGTTAAAGTGCATATCAAGGAAAAAAAATTATTTCCAAAATCACTTATATGTGAACAGTATAGTGGTATGGCTGCAGTATTTTTGTATGTGGACTTGTCTTTTCAGAGATATAAACATTTAAGATATCAATATGCAAATGTGATGACGTAAATTCAAGAATGGGTTACATTTTGCAGTGTGATTTACGACAAGTGTTCTGAAGTGAATTAACCTAAAAGTGTACAAAATCATATATTTCAATCATAAGGATAATTTGCAAATGAAAAAAACAGCAGGTACTTTCCACAACAGCATTTTTGTATAATAAATTAGTCTTGAATTTACGTAATCTCATTTGCATATTGATATTTCAAATGTTTATATCTCCTAAAACCATTTTTACATACAAAATACTGCAACCATACAACTACACTATTCACAAATAAGTGATTTTGAAAGGAAAGAAATCATTGATATACACTTTAAGGTAGGGTTGGGAGAGAGGGCCTACGATTTTAAGTGTTTATGAGTAGACTTGAAGGTCTTTCCATTTGTAAATGTAATTAAAAACGTAGCAGGTTCTCYTAAATTATTTTAAGACCCTGGAATGAACCATGACCTCCCGCACAACAGACCGAAGCTCTTACCAGCTGAGCCGTAACCGGGCGGCGGTAGAAGTGGAAAACTKACGGCGATGACTTACACCACTCATAATACCGCCAACCGGTTGGCACAGTTGGTTGAGCATCGGACTTTCGTGCAGGAGGTCGTAGTTCAAGTGCCGGCCGRACCAACGCTCAGGGTCTTAAAACAGCTGAGGAGAAAGTGCTGCCTTTGTAATTACATCTGCAAATGGTTAGACTTTCAAGTGGCTCGGATCTCTCCACACTCATCATTACTAACCAACATCGGAGGGACGTTAAAGAACCACTGAGGACGTAAAAAGAAACCCTGGCAGTGACCACCCTCAGTGCCTACACTTCATACCAACCATCTCTCATGCTTGTAAATTKCATAAAAGCAATCTGTCATTTACRACTCAATGTAAAGCGCCTTTGATTATATCCATATAGAAAAGGCGCTATATAAATCATAAATCAAATCAAAGCAAAATACACGTACGAAATGCCGTAGCATTGAAATGGCTTCCCATAAGAATGGTATCGTATGAATGGAAAACACACCATACTTCAATGGCTTTTAATCACAACGCGTTGTTACTGCTACGATAAAAGATCACAAAGCTATAATAAGGCTAAGATTTTGTCGCATCGTTTCCCCGAAAACCGCATTTCATTCTCACTATCGTAGTCCGTCGTTTTCGGATCTTCGTAATTATCACAATAATAATWATTATTATCATCATTATTATTTTCTTTACAGTTAGTTTTTAAGTTTTAGCCAACTGAAAGCAAAAAAAATCAACATCAAAGTCTCAGTCGAGAAATKACCTCTTTTTATTCACAGGAAACATTGGAGGAGAAATAGGTAGAATTGCCAATATGAGGTTTTCCACAATTGACCAAGACAATGATCATAAAGTAAACGTAAGCTGTGCAGAAACGCATGGTCCTGGTTGGCTTTGGACATATATGCATCATGATAAAAGAGATTGCTTCAATCCTGGGTATAATTTGTTTGGTCCTTACAGTCCAAACGCTATCGGCAATGAGTCTCTTAACCTGTTCTACAATAACGTTGGACATCCTATCACCTACATTGAGATGAAAACAAGAGATAGATTAGGTAAGCGGGTAAACAGCTCGTAAAAGGGCAAAGAAGGTACCTTTTGATAGGTACCTACTTGTAAGRACGTTGTCATACGRAAATAGAACATTAGTGATTTAGTGGAATAGGAATTGTATTAAAAAACAAAAGAAGATCACTGAAGCTGAACTTTTTCTTTTGTCTTTTAATGTATTCCTTTCTCATTAAATTACTAATGTTCTAATATCGTGTGACAAYGTGCACCCCCTGCGCCCCTCCCCTGGATCCACCCCTGTAATTCCAAAAACTCGTGCTTCGTGTTTYGTTAGGGTTTCCAAACACTTGAAAATACGGCCTCGTGCTTTCAAATGTTTTCTCGAGTTTGGAAACGCTAACGAAACACGAAGCACGAGTTTTTGAAATATTGCATAACAAGGAAGGTATTTTGAGGTGCCGAATTGTGCCCGACTTTGCTTCTAGAATTCAGTTTGAAGCTTATATTTGCAAATCATCAAATACATTTTATAACTTGAAATGCTAGATAAACTTAAGATCCGTCGTTTAGATTACTTTAAGCTTTTTGATCGTTGAAATCCTTCACTTTCCACACAAAACCTCAGTACGTACATTTGGGACAAAATCCGATCCGAATGATTGTAATTACCCCCTTTTACGATCTTTTATAACTCAAGAACCAAGTCGGTAACTCCCAATTTTTTTCACTTTTTTGAATAAGCAACTGAAGATCTTTACATGACTAGATTCGTTTTGTAGCTTTTATTTACTATTTCTTTCTTTGTTTCTTTGTTGTTGTTTTTTTTTTCTTCTTCTTCTTCTTTTCGTGAGGGTCATATAATAAAATGCTCATTGACTGAGTTAGGTCGGGCCGTACGGGAAAATATTTGGCTCTCGTTCATTTGTACGGACCTGGCTGCGCTCGGTCCGTATGGCATCACCTCGAGCCAAATATTTTCCCGTACGGCCCTCCCACTCAGTCAATAAGTACATATTATTCAATAATGACAAAATTTAAATATTCAATAAGATCTTAACTATTTATCAATTATTTCATTTTATTTTTTTTTTTTAAGTTAAAAGTTACATTATAATGGCATATACTTCACATCTGGAAATATTGGGTGAATATTCACCGATATCATTTCCATTATTATCTATGTGCAGGAAACTCAAGATCTGTAATTGGAACAGCAACTCCAATGGATGGACTTACCTGGGAGGGTTTCAGTCTTCAATACATTCCACACCAGTTTACTTTTCATCTCTCTACCACTGATAAGGCTTGGTTTCTAGCTATCAGTCCCAGTGCTTATTGGTCATACTATACGTTTTCGTGGAGCGAACAGAATGGTATCAGAAGTTATGAAAACTCCATGCTTGTCATGCAGGATAAAGAGTTTCGAAGTGTTGGGTCAAGTTACAGAAATCGTTTTTATCTGGTTTTATCTGAGATTCAAACTACTAATCAGATGTTCAGGTTTATGACAAGAATGAAGGCCTGGAATCGAGATTTGACAGCCAATCAGATTAACGCGGACTTCAWCGAAGGTAAGAAATGCAAGTTACTCCATAGCAGCCATTGTGGAGGAAAGTTGCATGTAACATATACCGCACACTCATTACAGAAGCTGCAAAACCTGTCCATCCAATAACAACACCTGATTTTTTGATCATTAATATGTACTTAAAAGTACCTATATTTAGGTACCTATACTTAACTTCGGTAGTTCGCTTCAGTTGAAACTCAACTGCTATCAATGGAAGCCGGCGGTTCGCAATTTACTCCATTCTCTTCATCAGTGCTCTGTTCAAAGAGTATTCAAAGCTACATGGCTCAGAGAGAAGTCGAAACAGACGTTGCGATCCTGAGGATCAAAACTTGGGCCTCTAGCTCCAATGGCCGCGCACTAACCAACTGAGCTACGCCTGCTAGCTCCTAATTAGAAGCGTCATCGTCACATCACGGTACTCCCAGCTTTTCCCAGTTATGCACATTCTATTTTATAGAGTAGACATGCTTGATAACAATTCCCTGCGGATCTGTTACACATTACTAATTCAAATTTAAAATCTTCTTYGTAGCAACTTTTACATTGGAAGGAGATGTAACGCACTGGGACAAGGCTGATGATAACCCATATAATTGGACGACCAATTCAAACTGTACAAAGAGTTCAGACACTGGACCTTGTCTGGATCATACGTATGGTTTTCCTCAAGGTATGATCTGTCAAACACAAATCACGAGTAGCTAATAAATCACATTTTGTGGAGGGAGGAAAACTGGAGAACTAGGAAAAAACCCCTGCAATT